GTGAATGCAGATTGTTTAGGCCTTCTCATTAGCTGATGGCTTATTTTGCTGATAACCATCATTGGAAAGGGTTTATAGCTAGAGTAAAAGAGAAAAGAAAATACAAAGTATTGAATCAGACTATCTTCATGATCGAACAAATAAAATAATACATAGAGCAGAGGTACAACTTTCCCAAGGGAGGAAGACAGGATAAAATTTTGGATAGGTATAAGTAGTAGATAAGTATAGAATTATAAAGGATAGGAAAACAGGACTCACCAGATTGTTATGAGAATATATGGACTTTTTTCATGAAGGTGACTGTGACAATGTTACATTTTATTTATATAACCAAACAAAAATATAGTTTTTTAAAAAGAGAAAGAAATAAACTATGGCCCCCCTGTTGGAGCATAGGAATGCCCTCCCAAAGGAAATTTGATTGGTGTAGACCTTGTTTTCTTTATGGTATTACTTTTCTTTAAAATACTGTATTCACTCGAGTCTAATGTTCACCTTTTTTTGGCTAAATTACATTGCCAAAATTGAAGTGTGCATTAGGTTTGATGGCACGTTAGAATCATGCACATAAAAACTCACCTGAATGAAAAGGCCTGGAGGGACCCAGAGCCCTGGCAGGTGGTGGGAAGAGGCTGTTCCCAGTGGCGACAACAGCCTCAGGGCTCCATGGCATCCAGAGAAGGAGAAGTACCCAAATGGTGACCCAGTCATTCCAGCCGCTTAACCACAAATCCTGCTTCCTGGGTGGTCCTCAGGTGTACCATGTTCTATTTTTCATTTTAAAATGCTGTGTATATCTCTTGCAATCCTTCTGGACAAAGAGTTTTAAAGTAATTAAAAATAATTAAAATGTTACTGATTTATGCAAACATGTAACAAAGTCAGTAGGCTTCTGGGTATAGATATATGGATAATTTTTATTCTGTGTGAATTGCAAAAAAAAATCTGTTCCTTATAAAATTGTATTTTTGAACACTGAAATATGATTTGAGATGTACAAGCAGAGCTGAATGCTGTAATGATATGGGTGTTCAATGTATTGTCGAAGGCTTTCATGGCCAGAATCACTGGGTTGTTGTAGGTTTTTTCGGGCTATATGG